TAATTCCAATAATTTGTAGATTGGCCATTGAATAATGTGGCACAAAATAGCAATTACCACACTGATGATAAAGCAAAATCAAAAATTGAAAAAAAGAGTGTGGAATATGGACAATTTACCGGTAATTATAAAAATGATGGTATCAGTGGAGAATTTGATAGTTTAACATATTCACATTCGCAAGAAATGTTAAAGGTACATAAAGTATATTTGGTAATTTTTATTTTTATAACTTTATTAAAGAATAAATATAATTCATATCATTTTGTAATAATTAATTCATACAATCGGATTACATATTAGATTAATAGTGAAAATATAATTGCACATTAATTATCTTTATTTTAGATATTTCGGCAGAGATTTGGTTTATATACTTTTAGGCCAAATCAATTACAAGCTATCAATGCGATACTTTTGGGATTTGATTGCTTTATTTTAATGCCGACTGGCGGTGGAAAATCTCTTTGTTATCAACTTCCTGCCCTTTTAAACGTTGGATTAACTATTGTTATCTCACCATTAAAAAGTCTTATTTTAGACCAAGTTCAAAAACTTATCTCACTTGATGTAAGAGAAAGTATTATTACGAGAGATGGCAAATAACGCGTTACTTGTAATGTCGTTACTTTTCTTCGATACTTTATTACAATAACAATTTTGTAATGACGAATTTTTTTATGACTAACATCAGGTTTGGAAATTAACTCGGCATTTGTAATGAGTTACTCTTTACTCGTTATAAATTATTCTTTTTTTCAGTAAGTAAACACGTAATAATGGCAACATATTACTTTTTAAAGTGACTTTTCCAATGTTAACACAACCTTAGCGTTTAATTAGTTATCATTACAGTCATAAAAAATTGCAACGTCATTATCAAATCGTTATTATAAAAAGTAACGATAAAAATAACGGCGTTACTTTACTTACCATCCCTGATTATTATTTTATTACGTATTAGATACATAATAAGAAAAATAATCTAACTTAAAAACATAATATAAAAAGAATACTCATTTACATTACAGAAATGTATATACTATTACAGTATATATTCTTTACTTTTGATTAAAAATTACAGATTCCTGCAGCTCATTTATCTGGTTCTATAACAGATAGTCAAGCGGAGGCGATATACAGGGAACTTTCCAAAAAAGAACCAGCTCTCAAAATATTATATGTAACACCAGAAAAAATTTCCGCCTCGCAAAAATTTTGTAATACTCTGACTATTTTATATGAAAGAGAATTGTTGAAAAGATTTGTTATTGATGAAGCACATTGCGTTAGTCAATGGGGTCACGATTTTAGACCAGACTATAAAAAATTAAAGTATCTCAGGAACAATTATCCCAAAGTGCCAACAATGGCTCTAACTGCAACAGCCACACCACGTGTTAGAACAGATATTTTGCATCAGTTGGGCATGACTAATCCAAAATGGTATATTTGATTGTGTGTGCGTCGTACGTGCGCGTGTGTGCGCGCGTGTATGTGTGTGTGTGTGTGTGTGATTGTATAATTTTTGTTTGCATGTGTTGCTCTATATTACAAAGAATTCAGAATTGGGAAACGTTATTTTTCCGTTATTTTAACATTGCTTTTTATAATAAATATTTTGATAATGACGTTGCAATATTTTTTACGACGCTAAAGTTGTACTAAGATCGAAAAAGTCGCTTTGAAAACTAACTTGTCACCATTATGCATTATTTATTGAAAAAAGTAATACATAACGAGTCATAAATAAAAAAGTAATTTATGCATATTACAAATTAGGAATTATTTTTTTCAGTTACGAATGATTTTTTTCAACTAGTTACAAGTAATTATTGACTTTTTCTCTGGTATTACCATTACCGTTATAAAAAAATTCGTAATGTCATTATCAAATCATTATAACAAGCAGGTAACGATCAGCAAAATAATGAGTTACTTCTCATCTGTGAAAAAGATTAATGATTACATTTTTTTAGGTTTATGTCGAGTTTCAATAGGCCTAACTTGAGATACAGTATAATATCGAAGAAAGGGAAAAATTGTTCTGATGAAATCGTAGCTATGATAATGACAAAATTTAAAAATACTTGTGGCATCGTATATTGTTTATCGCGTAAAGATTGCGAAGATTACGCTGCACATATGAAAAAAAATGGTATTAAAGTATTGAGTTATCATGCAGGACTCTCAGATACTCAAAGAAGCAACTGCCAAGGAAAATGGATTTCCGATGAAGTACATTTGTTATACTACGTACACAACAAAAAATATACGTACGCGCGTGCATATACACTAATATAATGTATAAAAATGATATTATATCATGAAATATGTAATTATAAAAGTATAAAATATTAAAGTGTGTATGTGCGCGTAGACATATGTTTATGTGCGTGCATCGTATTTTAAATAAAATTACATGTTTTTACAAACTTTTTTCAGGTACATGTTATATGTGCAACTATAGCCTTTGGAATGGGTATCGATAAACCAAACGTGCGCTTTGTAATACATGCAGCCTTACCAAAGTCTATAGAAAGCTATTATCAGGAAAGTGGTCGCGCTGGTCGTGATGGTGAAATAGCAGATTGTATTTTATTTTATCATTATGCAGACATGCACAGAATCAGAAAAATGTTTGAACAGGATAATCAAAATCCACAAGTCATTAGTACACATATGGATAATTTATTTAAGATGGTAGCATTTTGTGAAAATCGTACAGACTGCCGTAGATCGTTACAGCTTAATTATTTTGGAGAGATATTTGATAGGCAACAATGCATCTCGAATAAAATAGCTACGTGTGATAATTGCAGATCTAAGGTATGTATGTCATGTGGATTAGATAAATGATTATCACAGCAAAAATATAGTTATCTAAATGGAATTGGTACTAATTAATAATTTTAGACCGAGATTACAATGTTGGACGTTACTGAAGATGCAAAAGAGATTATGAAAGCTGTACGAGATATTAACAATAGAAAGAATTGCAAACTTACATTAGTATTCTTAACAGACATTTTCAAGGGTAGTGATCTGAAAAAGATTAGAGAATCAGGTTTATATTTGTTTTATATGTATATAATCATAAAAAATGAATTGATATTTATATTAATGATACAACTACATAATTCTTTTTACAGGTCTTACAAATCATCCTTTATATGGTCGTGGTAAATCATGGAATAAAAGTGACATAGAACGTCTTTTGCATTATATGGTACTGCAAGAATATTTACAAGAAAATATGTATATTAATAACGAAATTGCTTGTGCATACGTAAAAATTGGACCAAAAGCGAGTGAACTCATGACAAAAAAAGATGTAAAGGTATTTAATCTTAATAAGATATCTAGAATGTAAAATGTATAATTAAGTTTATACATCATTTTCGATTAATATCCAGATCATATACATGTTTATACGTATATATTAGAGAGAGAGAGAGAGAGAGAGAGAGAGAGAGAGAGAGAGAGAGAGATACCGCGAAACATTCGTAGTTTTTTTCCCCTATAAACATATCTTGAAAAAACGACACGAACTTTCCACAATATTTAACACGCACGCACACACGCATCCACACACACACACGCCCGCGCGCGCGCGCGCACACACACACAGGAAAATTTTTCTGTTTATGCCTTTTTATTGTTTTATCTTGAAAAGGTACAAATCCCAACGAGACAATCGAATAAATCTACTAGTGGTATAGCTACAGTTTCAACAGTTACAAAGAAAGTTGATGGTATTATAAAAGAATTGCAAGATCGTTGCTATGCCGAGTTGATGACGATAATACAAGGTATCGCTAGCGCGTTGGATGTTTCTGCTTCTTCTATTATGAATATGGTAGCTGTCAGAGCTATGAGCCAGCGTTTACCAGAAACCGAAGAATCCATGTTACAAATACCACACGTCACTAAGGCTAACTTTGTTAAATATGGCAAAGCTCTTTTAAACATTACACAGAAATACGCGAAAGAAAAAACTGGTATGATACTCGCATATAATTAGTATAAAGTAATACTTTATTGATTATTCTATTATTTTTTTTTTTAGAATTATTGAATGTAAATGATGAAGATAAGAATAGTGACGATAATGATAGCACCTGGGATGACAATGATTCTAATTACTCTTACAGCAATAATACTAGCAATGGCAAGAAACGAAAGATGAGTAATAGATCTAATAGTACTAATAAAAAATATAAACGAGGTGGTTTCAGGTAATGTAAAAATAAATATGTGCGTGCATGTGTTACTTTTCTCATTATACACAACATACATGATGGTTATACATATTGATTAGTAAAAAAATACGCGTACATGCATGTTTTAGAAAAAAATTTTATACAAATTTCATAATACATAATTATATATTTATACATTTGCAGTGCAAGAAGGGGAAAAAGTTCATCGAAAAGATCATCGAAAGGTTCAACAAAATATAATACTACAAAAAAGACAGTAGGACTTGCAAGTTTCAGTCAAAGTAAACAATATCTGGCAAATCCTAACAGATACATGAACATTGTTTGATTAATTCTTTCAATTACAAATTATTTACGGTATTTGCAATAGTATACATCACACAATTCTTGTATATATGGGAAGGGTGAATCGTATGACTACGTTGTGATTAATCAGAAGTCTCTTATAGCACTCGGCGTGTGGAAAGATTCTAGGTTGTTACGAATGTCTGTAATCGATCGCAAATGTGATTGCACACTCCCTCTTGGGATAGGTGATATCCGAAATTCTCTGTATAGCATTTTAGACATTTTATTGAACGAATTTGATAAAATCGTAAATTCATTTTTGTAATCAAGTAATCATCAAATATGTATGTGAAATAAATCTTTCATAATAAAATATTTTTTAAGACATATGATTTTGTTAAACATGGACAAATTATATAAATATAGCTTCATCAGTGTTTAATTAAAATAGATATGTATGCAATAACCTAAAAATTTGTTATAAATGATTTTTCAATAATTTTTTATTGCTTATGATTTGTATTTAAGATTAATACAGGTTTATGTTCAAAGTGTCTAGATTATTATATCTATTAAGTTACATTAGGTTAGGTCTTTTAACATTTGCTGTATAGGGTGCGTTCCGATATTGACTGCATAGAGTCCCTAGAGGACTCTACACCACGCCAGTGCTGAAACTATACATTAAGTGGACTATAGACTTTCAGTACTACGAAGATCAAAACCCATAATGTATTATTTATAAATCTGGTTGCATTATCCTAGCTTGTCGGTCTTCATTCTGAATATGATTTTTCAGCAAGTCCATCACTTCATTATCAAATTCAGGTGGAGTTGGTTTGACACCAGTCGCCCAATAGAATATATCCCAATCGTTGGATGGTAAATTTATAAGTTGATCATATAATCTTAATTGTTTGTCATCAAATGTATTCAAATATTTGTTTGCAAAGGTACTAAGAAGTATACCATTCTCCAGCATGCCACGTTTACGAGATTGATATGTCAATCTAAATTGACAATGGAAAAAAATAGAATGAGTTTTGTCACGAATTAATAAATCAATTGCAAATGTATTCGTACAAATAATGATTATCATGACAAAGTATGATATTGATTAAATCTTAATTCAGTTACATATTACAATTTTATTGTAAAAGATACATCATAACACACACAATACAAACAAGATCTCGAAAAAAGTATGTTTGTTGCTGATTCTGCAATAAGTTAATAGTCGGAAATCTTAAGTCTTACGCTGATTCTACAATGAGTCCGTGATCAGCAATCGTAAGTCTTATCGGTAAAGTTGACTAATAGCAAACTTGTACAACTAGGGCTGATTGGCCAAATTCACCGATTAAGCCTTCCGACTATTGATTCATTGTAGAATTAGCATTAGGATCACACTACCGACTCATTGCAGAATCAATTAGTATCTTTGGACTATCGGTAGAACTATTATTGTAAAAAAATTTGGAATGATACCGTGCTCGTTTGAGATTCGCATTTTCTCCTTCTCGTTCCACGTAACGTGGAATATCAGGCTCTCGACCTTCCGGATGAATTAAATTGTTATCTTGAAAATTGTCTTTTTGCTTACAACAACATACTGACACATCTCTCGTAAGTATAAGCGATCCGATCTGTTAGAGACAGAAAAGTATTACTTATTTAAGTATATATATATATTTATGTATTTAATAACATATAATTATGTATTTAATAAAAAACTTTATCCACGCGTCTACTTATTCAATATCTCCAAACTTACGCGAGATGTAATACGGCTGTACACAAGATTCATTATAGAATAAATCAGAATAAATCGTGGAAATCGTGGAAATGCAACAAATATAACCTTGCAATCAGTCAAAAAATAATTTCACTAAATCCCTGCTTTACAATTAACTAAAAGGCCCCAAGATTCATCAAATGCTAGGGTCATGACATTTTCCCGAAAAACTAGATTGAATAATGTTGGTACTAACAAAAATCCCTATGCAACACTATTTTAATTTGTACGGATTAGGGCCAGTTTCCAACAACGCCAGTTAAGCAGTATCTCATCGGTGGCAGAGCTCAGTGAGCAGTTGCGCATCTGGATGAGCCCTATAGATCAATGGTTTCATCAGCTGATAATGACAAGCCGACTATTGACATCGATGTGCCAAAGTTGAAGGCTTATGAGTCATAACGATGATAGCATCCAACAAAAAATCTGAAATTCTCACCATGATTTGATGGCACACGTACAATAACGAGTGCAGCTGTTTGCTTTTACAGCCTCCGAGTAAACAACGGTAAAACAATTGCGTTTATATATTCAAAGTCGGGCTTCGAGTGTAAAAAGATTAGTGCTCAAACCAGTTGCTCAAAAGTATGTTACCGCGTGGTTATTGAAATATACGAGTTCGCTCGCATCATCTGTTCTCGATGTTGTCAGCGACACATTTAGCTCGTATGTGCCATTTGGAAGTAGCACATCGTCACCGTAGCTCGTTGGCGAGACATGCTCGAAAGCCATCTCAACATTTAATTACCTCGAATCTTTATCACCTGTGATAACGAGCTTTTTAAACAGAATGTGTGATATGACTTGATTATTACCAGCTCCTTCCAGACCACAAATGGGAAAGTGATGGACTGCGATAGAAGCATGCATGTACATGTATTCTTATTCTGCCTTTTTCTTTTCTCTCTTTCCTTTCCTTCTCTTTCTTCCCTTCCCGTCTCTTTTCTCTTCTCTTCTCTTCCTTCATTCTCTATTTTTTTCTTCTTTTTCTTTCAAATCTTGACTTTGTGTACGTAATATATTGTAATTTTTTTTTTAATAATAATTTTTTCTTGCAGATGGAACATAGGAAGATTCATTATATGCTGGTATATTCTTTAAATAACATGCCATGTATAGATTTCCAGATATATTATAAATTGAATGAATAAAAAAATGATAATCTTGTCCTCCTATTGATAAGAGCTTCTAACAAATATCAGGTGTGTCTGTGTGTGTGTGCGTGCGTGCGTATGTGCGTGTGTATGAAAAAATTTCGAAAGGGAG